CTGCCTCCATGACTTCATTACCACCCCAGTCCACTGACTTCTGTGCTCTACAAATCTAAATCAGAAGAGAAAGCATTCTGTGCAGAAGAGAAAGTCTTTGTGGTGAGAATTCTCATCAGCCTTAGATCTAGAAAGAATTTCTGTATCCCAGACATTCTATTGTTGCTTCTTCATTCTTCATATTTGTTCCCTTGCAAATTACTCTTTTTGCCTCTACTCTTGCTCCCTGCTTCTCTCCACATTTCATGTTTACCAAATAGCACTGTGCCACCCCCAAACCCTGAAGGGCCAGGAGGAGTGGCCAGTCTCTCATGGGTATCTGGTAGACCTCAGGAGGTTTTTGTTTGTTGTTGTTGTTGTTGCTATTTGTTTGTTTTGTTTTTTTGTGTTTTGTGGTGGTGGTGGTTGTTGTTTGGAGGTGGGTGGCAGGCTGACTTCAGACAACAATGTGGTCTCAGTTCACTTATTCTACAGAAATTCCAGGTCCTTTGTGCCAAGCACTGTGCCAGACCAGATGAGCTGTACAGGTCCCTGCCCACAGGGCAGCGGGTACTTAGCCCAGAGTTGCCTTGCCAAATCTAACAAATAAAAATACAGGATACCCAGTTGAATTTCGGTTAAAGAACAAATAATTCCTTAGTAGTTTTTAGTATAATAACTGTAGTAAAGTATAATATATCTTTAGTACATTTCACTAAGGACATACCTACACTTAAAAATACTTATTGTTGGCCAGGCGCGGTGGCTCATGCCTGTAATCCCAGCACTTTGGGAGGCCGAGGCGGACAGATCATGAGGTCAGGAGATTGAGACCTTCCTGGCTAACATGGTGAAACCCTGTCTCTACGAATACAAAAACAAAATTAGCTGGACGTGGTGATGGATACCTGTAGTCCCAGCTACTCAGGAGGCTGAGGCAGGAGAATGGTGTGAACTAGGGAGGCGGAGCTTGCAGTGAGCCGAGATCGTGCCACTGCACTCCAGCCTGGGTGACAGAGTGTGACTCAATCTCAAAAAAAAAAAAAAAAAAAAGTATTGTTTATCTGAAATTCAGATTTGACTGGGTGTCCTGTTTTTTCACTGAGAACCCTACCCTTGAGACACCCAACCTGCCCTCTTGGGGTCAGTGAGTGTCATGCCAAGCATCTCATCAGGGTAATGCTATAAAGCAACTTGAACATGAAGGAAGGCTGCTTCCAACTACTAAGGCTCTGATGCATCCAGGCTGCGGAGCTTACTAACCAACATCTGGTCACTGGAGACACAGGCAGGGAAAGGGGCCTAAGTGGCCATCCCCTCCTACAGCCTGACAGTAATAAAATCTAACGTGGGATGACTGCTTGTTATGTGCTAGGAACACTGCTTCATGTTGGTTCTGTCATTTAATCATTCTGCCAACCCCATGAGTTAAGTACGGTTATTATCCCCATTTTATAGATGGTGAAATTGATATATTGAGTACAACAAATAAAAGAAGGATCTCCATAAATATGAAACTTTTTTAAGAATAAAAGCTGATCCAATAAAATTATCTTAGGACATTTTCTATAATCTATGAAATTTGAAGTTTTTTTGAAGAAAATGTGATTATTGTAGCTGATATAACCCAGAGCTTTAGACAGAAAGAAAAAAAAATTATAAATTAATGAGAAATTTTCCTCTAACAATTCATATGTTTTGAGGTTTAAAAATGTGTATAGTCAGATACAGTGACACACACCTGTAGTCCCCACTACTCAGGAGGCTGAGATAGGAGAACTGCTAGGGCCCAGATGTTTGAGGCCAGCCTGGGCAACATAGCAAGACCCCCATCTCTAAAAACTTAAAAATTAAAATATTAAAACGTTTGTATAATGCTCAATATCTAATACTTACATTTTGGATTACAAGTTATGCTTTACAAGTTTTTAAGTTTTAATGACCCCAGCTATAGCAATATTTGAAATAAAGGTATCTTTTAATTTTGAAATGTGACTAGGTTCTATGGAACCGGAGAAATATTTTAGTTTCATGACTACACATTAACTAATGTGGATAGAAAATAAATACTCCCCAAAATTTCTTGTGTGGAGTGAGTCCATTAGATTTTTTTAAATTAACCTTGGCAATCATCATGGTTTGTAAAATATCGTCTAGAGATAACATTATCTTGGTTTCATTTGTAATGGGAGTAAACATTTAGGATCTTCCGGCTAAAAGATGTCAAAGCCTCCCATCTATTTGACTGTAGCCAATATCATATATATGTCAGAAAGAAAAACGTTTTCAAGCTTAGCCTCTATTCCCACATACTGATTCTTGCAATCTACCAATGTATATTTCATTTATGCATGGTATGGGTAGATAAAAATTATGTAAAGTCATAGAAAACTTATAAAATTATGTAAGAAAAATGGTTTTAAATTGTATCAGTAACCTCTTATTAAACAATAAACAATTGCCTGGTTACCTGAAAGATGCTGGTTCCCACTTTGAACCATCAGCAGCTGTCCCTGGGCTGGACCTACAGGTGAATTCTGACCACTGAGGGCCCATAATCATGAACCCTCCCTCAACGCCAGGACTGCTCTCCTCTCTGGGCCAGCCAGAAAAACTTCACCATCCAACCCTGCCAACGCACCTTCACCAGCGTCCACCGCAGATATAGGTGCCAGAATGGGTAGATTGTAACTGAAAAAATTAGTTACCAGCCCTTCTGCATTGCTTTTTTCTAAAAAGCAGTTTTTGTTTTTGTTTTGTTGTTGTTGTTCTTGTGCTTGTTTGTTTGTTGGTTGGTTGATGTTGTTGTTTTTGACACAGAGTTTCGCTCTTGTCACCCAGGCTGGAGTGCAATGGTGCGATCTCGGCTCACTACAACCTCCGCCCCCAGGTTCAATTGATTCTCCTCCCTCAGCCTCCCAATTAGCTGGGATTACAGGTGCCTGCCACCACACCCAGCTAATTTTTGTATTTTTAGTAGAGACGGGGTTTCACCATGTTGAGCAGGCTGGTCTCGAACTCCTGACCTCAAGTGATCCACCCACCTCAGCCTCCCAAAGTGTTGGGATTACAGGCGTGAGCCATCGTGCCTGGCAGTGCTTTCTTTCTTTTTTTTTTTTCTAAGTATGTTTTTCCTCTCACTCTCATTCAGATATTATACCAGGTTCACTTTGGCCCTTAGGGAAAAATGTTTGAAGAAGCTAAGATTTTTGTGTAAGTCTGGGCCCTTTCCTCAAAGTCTTGGAAAAATACTAAAGACGGCCAAGAAAATACACACAGACAAATCAACAAAATCATTAGACCATCTTGGTGAATATATTTCTAGGGATTATTATGTACTGTAATAAAAAATAAATATTTTGCCTCCATGCCGAGTTCATGGCATACAGCTCCTAAACCCTCAGAATCTCAGATTGATGGGTGTCTTTTATATGCTAATGAGATGACTGGTGGCAGGGACCCCTAGATTTCTTGAGGATTGGGGCTGGTCACAGGAAAGACCAAGGCATGATTACATTGTTGGAACTTTCAGCCCCATTCTCTATCTTACCCTATAACTCACCCACCCCCAGTCTCTGGGGAGGGGAGAGGGACTGAAGATTGAGTTAACCACCAATGATAATCGTTTAATCAATCACACCTGAATAATGAAACCATCCTAGTAACCCCTAAAATTCCAAGAACTTCCAGATTGGTGAACACATTGAGGTGCTGGGAGTACAGCACACCTAGAAAGGGCACAGAAGCTCTGAGCCCCTTCTCCCATACCTTGCTCTGTGCATCTCTTCTACTGGGGTGTTTCTGAGTTGTATCCTTTCTAATAAATCCAATAATAATCAGTTAAAGTGTTTTCCTGAGTCCTATGAGCCATTCCAGTGAATTATTGAACCATGGAGGTGGGGCAGTGCTGGAACCTTTGTAGCCAAGCTGAACAGAAGTGTGAGTAAGCTGGGGACCCCATACTTCTCACTGGCATCTGAACTGGGGGCAGTCTGTGGAGTCTGGGCTTTATTCCAGGTCATCAGTATTAGGATTGAATTGAACTGTAGGACACCCAGTTGGTGTCTAGAGGGTTGGAGAATTAGTTGGTATGAGAAAAAAACCCACACATTGTGTGTCAAAAGTGTGGTAAGTAAATAACTCCTTTTATATTTTTTTTTTGAGAAAAGAATTAATACTAACACCATGTGTTATAAAAATGGATAGTGGTTGTTGAATAAAAATTAAAATACCTGTAGGCCAGCTCAATATTAGAAGATAAATAAGGGAAGATAAATGCATGCTACTTTCGTATAATTACTCAGCACCTCAGTGAACATCAGAAAGCTATTTCTGCAGTTTATTTGTAGGTGCTTATCCTAGCTAACGCACTGTTAGCCCTCAGAGGAAATCCAAAATTATACCACACATGGCCCCTGCTTTAAAGGAAGTAATTTTAATGACCCACAAAGTGGTTTATAAACCCTGCTATAAAAGATACTTGGGTCTATATTAATATCATTTCATAGAAAACCTCTTCCTTCCAACATCTTAAAATTCAGAAAGATATTTCTTGCTATACTGATTTTTTAAAAATTAACAAAACCATGAGTTTATGCAGTCCACGTGAAATGTTCCTATTCTGTAATTTCAGGAGAAACATATCAGCACATGTAAATTTTTTAGAAAATATCTGGCACACATTTCATGTGAAAGCCATACATTGGAAGAATTTCTAGAAAAGAATATGGTACATGAGCATAAAAACTGCTTTTTATTCTTTGAACCCTTAAAAAAGCATTTTTAATACAATGTTCACATAAACACTGCTGTTTCCAAACTTCTGGCAGAACAATCTGTAGAAAGAATTTCAAAGACCTATGCCTGTAGTAGATATTCAGTAAATACTTGTTAAATGACTAATGAAAAAATTTATTAGGCAAAGTTTTCGCTTCTGAGTGAGAGGCAGTTAAATAGAGAATAACACTGTTCTGAAGAGTATATATGACCAACATCTAATGCAATGATTTCTATTCCTTTAGGAGAAAAATCAGCACTGAAATTGAATTCCCTGAGAAACTGGAAGAAACCAAGCTCATAGTAGCTGAAAATGAAGACCATGAAAAACTCCAAGTTAAAATCCAGGCTTTTGAAGACAAGATAAATGCAGACAGCAATACCCCTGGCTCTATCAGAAGATATAGTCTGGGCCAAGTTTCTAAAGAAGAAAGAAAAAACATTAGATTTAACAGGTATAACTCTTGTTTGGTTTGTTTTTTAAATTATACACTTAATATCAGCTATTAGCTTTGTTATCACTCTGTTACGGGGTGTTTTTTATATATCTTCTACCTATAGCCACCTGAAGTGCTGTCCTTACATGAATGAAATGTTATCCACAATGCTCTCATTATCCAAAGAAGTTCACTATTTTAAATGGGTACTATGAATGGAAAAAAAACCTATTGCTTAATTTTTAAAGCAATTCTTAAATATAAGTATGCCATATGGGAAATACCGTCTCTTGATTTCTGATGAAAAATCAAAAGCAAAGGTAGACAACGATGAAAAATATGCAAGTCTATCATTTTGCAGCCAGTTTTGCCATGAAATTGATTTTTAAACCTTTGTGTTCGGGGGTGACCTAGATTTTCAAAGGTTTGGTTTATTACATCATTTGTTGGTGATGTACATTTATCAGGGCCATTAGTAGTTTCACACTCCAGAGGAAGTAACTTTTTGTCCCAATATTATTATTATTTCTTTTCCTTGGCAGTGAATGGTAACACAGCTTCTCTAACTTTCCCTTTGTTTGAACTCTAGGTCAAAAAGTTTGGCTTTGCACACTGTGCTCACAAAGGGTGTGGGTTCAGACGATGGTGAAGATGAAAACAGGGGAGATATACCAGCCAGCATCTCTCTTTCAGAAATAGACCCACTTAGCCAAGGAGATGACAAGCTGCCCTTTAAGGCAGACACTGACAGATCACAGCTGGGAGAGTCTTCAGTTTCATACCCAAATATTATACATAAAGACTCAGAGAATTTGCCAGAAACTGTTAAAGAAAACTTCCAGGAAGAAACTCCAGAGACAACTGCAAGTCCTATAGAATACCAAGATAAGCTCTACTTGCACTTAAAAAAAAACCTCAGCAAAGTGAAAGCATATGCCATGGAAATTGGAAAGAAGATTCCAGTCCCTGATCAGTGTACCATTGAAGGTAAGTGTTGTGTACTTCCCAAACCTGAGCAACTTCAGGAGTCACTGCAAATAAACAAACAAAAAGCTCGAATCATGTAAATTAGCATACTCTTTTCTGTATCTTTTGCAAAATAGAACATTTTTTTTTAAACACCTTACATTATGTTAGTTTCCCCACCCCACCCCCAAAAAAGGTTCATCATCTCCTTGATTCCCATTGGAATCTACTTGGGTGCACATAAGTCCACTGACTCTCTGATTTTTGCAAACCTCAAGATATATTATTTCTGGTTCCCTGTCCCCAGAATTCAGGAAAATCCTGGAAAGAGGTCTGTGACCCTGTAGCAGGCTCTGTGGTAGGGATTCTGCCAGAGACATTTCCCAACCACATAATCATGCAAGAAAGCCATGCACAACATTGAATATCAGCTTCCACTCAGCTACTGTGTTCCAGGCACTGTGTTAAAAGTACTCACGATTCAGCTATTAACCAAACAGATACAATTCCTGACCTCTTAGAGTTTAGAGTGTAGATGGTGACACGCAACTTAGGATGAGACCATGTCCCCAGAAACCCATTATAAGTTGAAAATGCACCTAGTTTACCGAACATTACAGCTTAGCCTAGCTTACATTAAAACATGCCCAGAACACTTACACTAGCCTACATTAGGCAAAATTATCTAACACAAAGTGTATTTTATAATAAACTGTTGAATATCTCATGTAATTTATTGAATGCTGTACTGAAAGTGAAAAATAGAATGGTCATATAGGCACTGGAAGTATTGTTTCTACTGAATGAGTATCACTTTCACACCATTGTGAAGTCGAAAAATGGTAAGTTCAACCATCTTATGTCAGGACCATCCGTACACAAAGAAAAGGGCACAACCATAGTCAGGAGGTGACTTAAGAGAGGGAAGCCAGTGAGAGGTTGAGCTAGTCAGAAAACAAAGGGCAAAGTAAAAAAATAAAAAATTTTAAGTAGGATGTCAGGGGCCAGGACCTCCCTCTGGCACACAAATTAGGGTGGCACCAATAAAACTCAGTAAAGGCTGGGCACGGTGGCTCATGCCTGTAATCCAAGCACTTTGGGAGGCTGAGGCAGGTGGATCGCCTGAGGTCAGGAGTTCAAGACCAGCCTGGCCAGCATGGTGAAACTCCATCTCTACTAAAAATACAACAATTAGCAGGCCATGGTGGCTGACGCCTATAATCCTAGCTACTCAGGAGGCTGAGGCAGGAGAATGGCTTGAGCCCGAGAGGTGGAGGTTGCAGTGAGCCGATATCGTGCCACTGCATTCCAGCCTGGGTGACTGAGCGGGACTCTGTCCCAAAAATAAAAATAAAAATAAATAAATAAATAAATAAATAAATAAATAAATGAAACTCAGTAAAATTTTAAGCAATGACAAGATCAGTAACAGTGTCTTACTGAGCCATAGTGGAACCTAAGACAAAAGGAATAATTAGTAATATCAATCCTGTACCTAATTACAATTTTGATATTCATCGTACATTATTTGCATTAATTTTAATTCTAAAAAACATTATGTATCTTGATTACTATATATTTCCAGCACTCCTTTATATTTTGTGCCCTAGTCCTTCCTGGCCCTGGGAAAGGAAATGTGTTTGAGACACAGGTCCTAAAATGCCACAGTGCTAGGGCAGACTCACTTTTCTGGTAGTGGGTTGAACAAGTTTGAATAGCTTTAAGGCACTGTCAGGCTCATAATCTTTACAACAACAATTCTTAGGCAGCAACCATGTTCTTCCCTTGAGATACATGTGATGGTTCTAGCACTCTGGCAGGATCTGCCATCTTATAGGCTACAGCCCTCTTAGAAAAAGCCAGACAGCTCAGCCTCCAGAAAGAAACATAGCTGAAGAGTAGCAAATCCAATTCATATTCACCTGCCCACTGGCTATCATGTTTAGGTACTAGAAGAGCCCTTTTTCCCATATTCTACTTTCTAGCTCTTTTCCCACTTCAAATCAGAGGAAAGAGCATGTTCTCATGTTAACAAAGGGAAAGGGGGATTCAAGTGTTTGCTGATAACATTAGAATATTATTTTGCATGTCTGTATATAATCTGACACTTTCAAAAGTGTTTGCACTAATTTTATTAGCCTTCCTAAAACTCTTTTAAATCCATTTTAATGGTGACAATAAAATATTGCTTATATTCAAATGTAAGTATTAGATAAGTATACCAGGGCTTGGAAATAGCTAAAATCAATAAAGTTCCATCAAAATAAACAGTATACAATTGCCTGCTTTGCTAATAATCTATGTATCTATTGCACAAGTTGGAGAATTTAATATAAGAGAGGTTAAGTGAATTCCCCAGTTTGACAGCGGGAGTCAATTGCAAATATAAAGGTAAAATAGTGGGATTTTTCAAAGTTGATCTAAAGCATTAAAGGTTTACTATGCAATGAGTTTTAGTCTTGTGGAAATGTGTGAGAAAATCCTGCAGATTTACTTCAAATATCTGCTTGTCAAAAACAAATGATATTTCTTATTGCCTTGAGTTACTTTGGGAGTTAAAATTACAGATGGTCCTTGATTTATGGTGGTTTGACTTAGGATTTTTTGACTGTACAATGGTGCAAAAGCCATATACATTCAGTAGAAACCATACTTTGAATTTTGATTCAAAATTCTTCATAACAACTAACTTTATTATATAGGCTTTGTGTTAGATTGTTTTGCCCAACTGTAGGCTAATGTATGTATTCTGAGCACATTTGGGGTAGGCCAGGCTAAGCTATGATGTTCGGTAGGTTAAGTGTATTAAATGCATTTTCAACATAAGATTTTCAACTTACAATGGGGTTATGGGGACATAACCCCATCGTAAATCAAAAAGCATCTGTAGTTTGACAATTAACTAGTTAACTTTGCTTTCTTTTTTCAAAAATATTGAATAAATTCATCATCTTTAGTTAAAAAAATAATACTTTCTTTTGATACTGATGTTTCCTACCAGGGATGACCTAGATGACCTAGAACTGAGTATGTATTTTTTTAGCTGACATTTTGGAATTCATTCATACTCTTGGAATTTCCTGGGCAATTCCTTGCACAGAGATATGTGTGAAGGATCAAAAATTTATATGATTCACTGCTAATACATCCGCTGAGAAAGAGTTCAGGCTGATTGTAGGGGACACATTGTTATTATTTCAGAAGTAGTATAAATTATTCAGTGACACACCAGCAGTCATCTGGCTGACACAATTTTGCTTGTTATCATAATATTGCTCAACAATATTACCTTTCTTTCCTTGAAAACTTATTCAAAAAAATTTAGGCTTAATTGTGTTATGTTTAATGTGTTGCTGGTATAAACGCAACATATTTGATCTTTCTTGATGAATTATGCATACTAGTCAAGAAGCAAAGAGAAGCAGCATAAAAACCACTTCTGAAACATTTAAAGTTAAAGGAACATATAGCCAGCAGGAAATAACAACAATGTCTTAAGAAAAATTTTGGACTGCTGTTACAAAGTACATACGCTAGGAACAGGACAAAACAACCTTTGAAAGAAATTCTTTTGATGTTAGGTTGGTCCATATGAAAAAACTGACATTAGACTCTTTTGACGTACAAAAACATCAATTTCATATGGTTCCGCATAATACTTCAGTATAAACTATGTTAAATGAATAGGAACCTCACTGGTCACTGTATAGCAGAATTAGGTATGAGTTGAGTCAGGGTCACAAATAGCATTCATAACTCCAGTCAGTCATCTATTATTGCATTATATTGATCACACTGGGGACAGGCAATAGAGTATAAACAGATCAGTGAGAATCTATCATTGTGTCTGGAAAAAATGTCAAACCCCAAGTCTTATTAAGGTTGGGTCGGCAGTGTCATTTTGGGTATGAAACAGCCTGTTATTCCTAGGTCAGTAATTCGCTTCTGAGCCCTGTAGGTCTCTAGTATTTGTGCAGGTTTACCAGCCACTTAAAGTTATATATTCATCAACAGAGCAATGGTCTAATATCACTGCCTGATTGTATTTATTTACAAGACTGGAAGAACTGAATTCGTCTGCCAAAGGGCATTTTAAAAATCTGAATCATTGGTATTCATTCATGTGAACAAAGCTGATTAGAGGTCAAAAAAACACACATATGATATTGTAAAAAAAAATCCTTGGAAATCTGGCCCATAACTGAAGTTCTATAAAGAATGACATAAAAGCTCACAAGAACCCATCAATGTTACTTTGAAGTATTTCCTGATTGGGTGAAAATACATGCCATCTGTAGAGTGTATCAGCAAGGCTGACTTACAGAAAGCTAATTTTTAAGCTAGTAATGTAGTCCTTTCTTTACCCACACAAGTTGATTTTTCTTTCTCTCTCTCTTTTTTTTTTCTTTCTTTTTTTGAGACAGAGTCTCACTCTTTCACCAAGCTGGAGTGCTGTGGCACAATCTCGGCTCACTGCAACCTCCGACTTCTTGGTTCAAGTGATTCTCCTGCCTCAGCCTCCCGAGTAGCTGGGACTACAGGCACATGCCACTATGCCCAGCTAATTTTTGTATTTTTAGCAGAGAGGGTGTTTCACCATGTTGACCAGTATGGTCTCGATCTCCTGACCTTGTGATCCACTCATCTCAGCCTCCCAAAGTGACAAGTTGATTTTTCTTAAAACGAGATTAATTAGTAATATCAATTAGTGGGCATTGTTTTCATGGTGAATGACAAATAAAGCTTCCTTACTGAAAATCTGGATGTAGTCAGGTCCACCTCAGTGTTGGTGTGACTGTGGGGTGCTCACATCCTCCTGGCCCACTTGGTCCCATCCGGGGGATGTTGATTACGCCCATCCACTTAATGCTTCTGGGAAGGTTTCTTTTTTATTTTTTAATGGATTAGTTTAATCATGGGATTAGGATAATTCCTCCATAAATTGAAGTTGTAGAATTTGGAGCCAGAGAAGAACGCTAAATCTTTTTCACACAATTTGAGAAAGAAAAACAGCAAATAAG